GAGTCCCAGTATCGCTGAGCCACGTGGTGGACGTTGTGGGGAAGTCTGAACGGCTATGTAAGCCGTCACCAAAAACAGAGTCGAGGATTGTTTACTGCCTCCGACTGGAGGGCGCTTGGGGTGGCCACCCCGATGGCGGTCGTCCTTGCCACCTGTCCACGGTCCCCCTGCGCATCAGCCCCTTTGCTTGGGGGCAGGGTTGAGTTGGGTGCCTTCCGTTATTCTGAGTACACGTCTCATCTGCTTTTCATCCAGGAATGGAGATTTCAGAAAACCAAAAGAAACTCGCCATGCTGAACGCCCAGAGGGCGGGGCAGGGGAAGTCGAAAGGTGAGGTTTGGGTGCCGCCCCGGCACTGTCAATATTGGGGTTACATTGGGGAGCGGGAGACACCAGCACCATTGGTCCAGGGCCCCCTCGGCAGGAAGGTGGGGTGTGGGTGAGCCCGGGAGGGGAGATCCCAGGCCAGAGTCACGTTTGGCCCTTGACTGTGTGCCAGCGGCCTTTGTACTTGAAGATGGTGGGTATGTGGGATGTCCAATGGTGGCACTGCGGGTTAGGAGGGGCATGCTAACCGCAAAGCGGCCATTCACACTCCTGCTGCTCCGTGAACGAGAGATGAGGCCGTGTGCTCCCATTGAGACTTACTATCTCGGAAACCCCATACAAGGTCCCTGTGAGGAGTGGGTTTGTGCCGGTGCTTGGGAGGGGCCTGTCGTGCAGACAGCCTCGGGAGCCTTCTTCCGCCTCCCTGTTGCCATTCTCCCATCAGAGGCAAATGGGCCTCTGGCTGCTGCTTCTGGGGTGTGTGGAGTGGGAAGTCCCCAACCCTAAGGTCCAAGTCAGCTGTACGAAAAAACAAACCACATCTCAGCGCGCCACGCAGCACGCCGAACAGAAAGGAAGATGCGCTGGCTGATGTGGCCGAGTCTCGTCGGGGCCCAGGGATGGCAGCCTCGGCTTTCCCCCTCGGAGCAGCTGGGGCTTTGCCGGCATGAGCGCCTCACCACGGTGCCCCCAGGCTCCTCTCAGGCCAAGCCCAAGGGCTGCTCGGTAGCTCCGGCAAAAAGCAAAAAGAAGGCAAGAAGGAAGGCCAGGGCGGGGCTGAGCCAGCTGGTGTCCCTGACCCTGTGTTCTCCCCTCCCCGCCCAGGCTACAGCGGGTGCCCCGCGCCGCCTCCGCACCAGAACCTGCTCCCGCTGCACCAGCGCCACGTCACGGTGCCCACCAGTGTGCCGCAGCAGCAGGTGTTCGCGCTGGCCGAGCCGAAGCGCAAGCCCTCGCTCTTCTGGCACACCTTCACCAAGCTCACCCCGTTCAAGAAGTGACGTGGAGCATGGAGCACGGCTCAGACCCAGGGCTGAGCACTTCTTTTCAGCGGGGACCGCCGCAAGAGAGGGCGACGCTGGCCTGTCTCCAGAACCCCGGCCACCTTCTTGGAAGGGAAGAGGAGGTCGTGACTCACGGCTGCCCCACTGCGAGGACCCTCTGGCCCGCTCAGGCACACAGGGGCTCCCCGGAGGCCAGGCGCACTTGGGAGTGGGTGCCCCGTCAGCTGGTGATGAGCCCATCGGTCTCGGACCCAGAGTGCCCGGTCCTGAGGATCCGCTGGAGGAGGGAGGGGGGCCACCTGTGCTCCCAGTTCTGAAGGGGCCCACCCAGGCGGGGCTGGTCCCTGAGGCCTCTTGACTCGCCCCCGCCACAGGGGGCTGAGGGCACCGTGGAGAGTGCCCTGGAGTCCACCGAGTTGCTCAGTGCTGACCTGGGCACCACCTCACACAGCCCCAGCGGCTCCTTTCCTTGTCGCCAGCGGGGCAGGGGGTTGCAGCACTCTAAGGGGCTGCGGTGTCCAGGGGAGAGTGGCGCTGTCCTCCTCCCTCTGCAAGCAGAACCCGCACCTTGCCGTGGCCTCAGAAACTGCCACGCAGACACCTGTTTCCACTGTGTGATGGCGCTAACCCGCCCAACGGTAACGCGCCCTCCTCCCCCTGCTGGTGCGCTTCTCCCACCTGTGGTCTGGACGCCCACACAGATCGAGTTCCAAGACAACACCTGCGTGCCACAGGGGCACGAGCCCACAGAGCCTGCCAGGGTTTGACGCTGGCGTGGCTGCACCAGCCCCAGACCATGCTGCCGTCCGCCTGCCCACAGGTCCCTGAAGATGGAGAGGGCGGAGGCGGGGGTGGGGGCTGATCACGGCCACACCAGCTGGCCAACGGCTGCAGTCCCTGCCCTGCTAATCTCTGTGGTACACGCTTGAACTGGTGTGTCTTCCGTGCTCGCCCACTCCACGCGCTGGCTGGCCGGGCAGGTGGGTGGGCAGTGCGGGCGCACATGCTGGGGTGGCCTCCTGCTGAAGTCCCCCTCCCTGCACTGCTGCTCTTGATGTGCCTGCGTGTCCTAGTAGGCATTCGCCTGAGAATAAACGCATCTGTGGTGACGAGGACAAGCGAGTAACCCGAGTGTCCGGTGTGTGGCTCCCCAACCCCTGGTCCCCTTCTCTTGCTACTGGGAAGGAAGTGGCGAGACATCTGGCGGGCATTTGTAGCGATACAGGCTGAGCATCCCGGAGTCACTTCCGCTCAGTCTCCCCGTTAGTCCACACCTGCTTGTCTAGGTGCTGGGCGAGTCCGGAAGGATGGCTCCAAACCACAGACCCCTGTATCCCACCCCAGAAAGGCCGCCTTGTGCAGCTTGTGCAGCTGTGGTTTCTGGGCAGCCTCCGTAGGGCTGCACCCTTGTGAAGGCAAGTGTCTGTCCTTGCACTGCCCCCCCTGAGAGCCGGGCACACTGACATTACTGTCTGCACTGCCCTCGAGGGGCCCAAATCAGGCTCCTTTGAAATGTCTCGGGTTTGGGTAACAAAAGGGGGGTGAGGTCCGGGCTGCGGGGTGAAGGGTGCATGAGGTAAGGATCCCCAAGGGCACCCCCCGCCCTTGCTGCCCTCTGAGAATCCCTTGGCACGATTTTCCTGGTCCTTTTTCTCACAAATGCAGTTTCCACTTTCAGAATACTTTTTCCTAACAAGCCCCTGTGATCACCCTGTGTCCTTTGATAAAATCTACCAAGATGTGGGACCAGTCACCATCACCTGAACTGACAGCTCTGCCCTGAACTTGGCCCAGGGGTTGCCCTTGGAAGCCTCTGTGTGGATTGAACCTTTTGTTTTTGACAGCACCCTAAGGAGACCAAGATAGTACAGTACTGAGAGGACTTGTCTGCAGCCGTCCCAGTGACAGTGACAGGTTTAGGCATATTTTGTTTGAACAAACCCAGGCCTGTAGGAGCGAGATATTTGTAGCAGTGCTCTTTGACCAGCCCCCTACAGGCAGAATCGCTGAGCAGGGTGCTCCTGCGGGCCTACTGTGTCCCAAGCTTCGAGTCAGAAGTTGCTAGAATTCCCTCAGGAAGATTCCCAGAAGGGGCTGGGGCTCCATGCACACCCAGTTCTGAGTGTGCATGCATGTGCACCAGCATTAAGTTACACAGTGGGCTGTTAACCTCAAGGTCAGCAGTTTGAAGCCCCCAGCCTGTCCCCTGGAGAAAGATGAGGCTTGCTATTCCTGGAAAGATTTGCAACCTCGGAAACCCACAGGGGCCATTCTACTCTGCCCTAGAGGGCCACTACAACTCGATGGCATTGAGTTTTGAGTTGACTAAGAAGTTTCGAAAACTCTATGCAGTACACACCACCACCACACTGCCCCCCCACCCCGCCACCTCCCCAGGGGTCTCTGCCCAGTAGAGTTGCTTGTACATGCAGAAGTTTTGCCGTTTGTTTGGCTTTACGAGAACGCTTCCAAAATTTGGTGGGAAAATGGTGTTGAGAGATCATTGAATTTTCCCACGAACTTTTCAAAGTGCCCCTCCATAGAACGTTCCAGAAGAGGATCATTTTCAGGAAGTAGTTGTGTGTCAGTGATGGCTTGGTTCATGTCAGAAATCCCTCAAAGCCCTCTCCCCCTTCTTGTTAAAGGATAGCAATAGCCGCTTGGAGCACTGGGACTCGTCCTGAGTCCGTCAGGTTCCGTTTCGGGACACGCAAACAGGACTCATCCTCCAGTGGACCCACTAGGTGTGTTGTGCAGCATGGAAGGCCCGCAATTAGTATAAGTTTGAGGGGAGGGGGCCCGACATGTGGGATGTCAGGAGGGTCCCCGGCACCCTTCAGAATGGAGAAGTCTACTGGAGAAAAATCCCTGTAGCTTCTGCACGTCTAATTTTACATAAGCCTGGATGCCGCATGCGGGAAGGTGGCTATTTCAGGCGAGGCAAGCCCCCTTCTTGACTAAAGTCCACATACAGTTCACAGCTAGAAAAACAGAAAACAAGGCCTGTTACGTGGCGGAGGGATGAGCTTCATCAGGAAACCGTCTCTGTTCCTTGCCTCTCTCTCCCACCCCACATGACAGTAATTACAGGGCGGGGAAAAACCAGGCAGTGGCGGGCTGAAGGATTTCAGCATTTCTTCCATTCATGTGATCAGAATTGGCAAAGTCTGCTGGGGTGTGTGCGGGGAATGGCTGAAGTGGCCTGGGGTCCAAAGTAAGCCCCAAACTTTTGATCCTGACTTAAAATAGGTTAGCGGCCCTGTGGTAGAGAATCCGCAGTGATCACAGGAAGCCCTCTGTCACTTACCCAAGAAAGAGCGGCTCTTTGCCTTCGGGGCCTCCAAGGCAGCCAGAGGGTCGCAGCAGTTGGCCCCCGCTCTGCTGGAACAACCATCCTGAACCGCGTCCCAGCACTGCCCGGGCCAGCACACTCCTCACCATTGTGTTACTGCCCGTTGTGGCAGCTGCTGCGTCTGTCCAGCCCGTTGAGGGTCGTCCTCGTCTTTTGCCACCCTTCTACTTTTCTAAGCATGCTGTCCTTCTCTGGGAACTGGCCCTTCCTGATTAAACGTCCAAACAGCACGAGACACTGTCTCGCCATTGCTGCCTAAGGGAGCACTCCAGCTGTACCTCCTCCAAGACAGGCCTGGGTGGTGTTCACCCGGCAGCACCGTCATTCAGTGCATCCCGTCTCCTCCTCCAATCGGTCCTCTTGTACCTGTTTTTCCTGGTAGATAGAACTGCGCCATTGAAAGCGCTTCACCCACTCCTCCATCTGATTTCCAGGTATGGGGGAGCTTCAAACAGTGGGAGAAAAAACATGAGAATGGAATGTTTTCCCAAACTTTTCTGAGCCCTTTCACGTGGTTGTGTTTGGTTATCCTTAACTCTGGAGAAGACCGACTCCTGGCCTGTCTTATGGGCAAAATCCTCCACTAGCCTTATCGACGGACAGATGTCCACGGATTCCAAACAGGCTTCACGATAGACGTGGTCAGTAAAAGCCACGGGACTACCAGCACTTGACCGGCCTCCCCTCTCTGCAGGCCCTTAACACTGCTGCAGGTTAACCACCTGGCCAGACTGGGGCAGCCTGGTCCTGTGGCGTTGGCCGACAGCCCTCAGGTGCCAAGAACCTGAATTAGGCTAGTGCGTCCATGATGGGGATGTGAGGGGGGCGTCAAGCTGGTGGGGAAAACGGCTTGGAAAGATCATGGAAATTTTATGGAAGGAGGGGGAGGTGTGACTCGAGGCCCTGGTTGGTGGGCAGGCCAACTCCAGTGTCCACACCCTCTGTAGGCAAAGGGGCTTCCGTAGCTGTGTTGCCAGAGCCCCGGGCCACCAATGCCACCCCTGTGAGCGTCACACACCGTGGCAGGGAGCTGGCACCATGTCGGAAGGTAGCCGTCCTGGGCGGGGGGCTAAGATGGACTGTCCCAGGGCTCCCGCAAACGTTCATGGGGTGACTCCATTCTGTCCTCGTTCCGTTTTCCCGCGGACCTCGTGAAGCCCCGCCCTCGCGTGATTTTGCTGAGGAGGAGACAGCCACAGACCCTCACCCTGCCAAGGGTCGTGCGGCCAGCAAGTCAAGACTCGCAGGCCCCGGGGGATGCTGGGACACGCCAACTTCCAGTTATGGTTCCGCCGCCACCGGGAAGCTCAGGTGTCCCCATCCTGAGCTCAGTTCATCTCTAGATAATCTCTTAAAAGTCCCTTGTGGATAATGGCATTGTTGTCAGGGTGCAAAAGGCGGAGTGTACCCACCTCTGCGGTGGGCACAGGACACACGGAGACTCCGCAGCCTTCTGATGGCAAATGACTTCACCGCTGCCCCCCACCCCACCTCGCAGTATCCTCACTCTGTCCTAGTTGTCCTCCTAGCACGGTTTTTCTTCCTCCCCCAGCAGATCCCGCCATGGAGTTGTGTGCATTCAGCACCGGCAGCCTGCCCTTCCCTTCCCCGCATCCACCCCGTCCAGCGACACCCCGCGCAGTCAAGGGCCAGCGCCCAGCACCACGAGCCCAGTGATCGCGCTCCATAACCGCTGTGACCAGATGTGTATTTTGTTGAAAGGAGTTCTTTTATAAACTTAAAAAAAATGTATTTACAATGTTATTTGTATGATTTCTCATAAATGACTTGAATCTATATTTGTTGTTTTGTATCCGTACATTAAAAGTACTTTGCCAAACTGGTTCTAGCAGTGCATTTGAACATTAAAGCACAACAGATAGGGGGGGGGGGCTTGAGGACTTTCTGGGATTTCCCAGTTCCTACCTGTGCTTACCTGAGTAATAGCTGCCCCAATATTGAGCCAGAGCCGTGGGGAAGCGAGATATGGGGACAAAATGACTGGGAGGCGCTGCCGAGTGAAACTAGGCCATGGCCAAAGGGCAGGTGGTTGTGGGAGATCACCATGCTGAACAGTCCAGAAAGGGCCCTCTCAGGGAAAGCAGCCTTCTCTGAAGGTTAACAGGAGCAGGAGGGCAAATCTTTAGCAGGAAGTCTCACTTGCATGCTGGGAAAGGCGATATACAATAAGGGGAAGGTCAACAGGATATGATCAGGGCAAAGAAGGACACGGGGAGGGACCCAAGAGCTAAACGTGATCCAGGTACGTGCTATGACTTACCAAATCCTGCAGTATCTATCGGTAGCGGTGGTCATCTTTGAGTGGGTACAGGTGGATACGTACATATGTTGGACGAGATATTTTTATGGGTGTGCGTATGTCCTGCAAACACATGGCCATGAATATCGCAGCACATACCAAAGACAAAGTTAGGAATACTTCTCACTCACTGCCAAACACCTCGAGTCACTGGGGGCTCAGGGTCATTATCTCTCTAAGGACATCAAGGTCCATTAGCATCACATAGTCCACAAAGACCATGTACATCCTACTTTGGGGAGAATCAACTGGGATCTTAAGAGATCCTGAGGGGGTCATCGAAGGTCTCTCCCTGTCCAGAACAGAGGAATGGAGCAATCCAAACATGGAATTGGTAGTTTGGAGGTGAACCCGTGCATCTGTGACTCTTGAGACCAGAAGAACTAGAAGGTGCCGGGCTACCACTAAGGGAGCACCATAGAAGTTACTGGATTGAGTTGGAGGAAAAATGTGG